TTGTAGTTCTTGCTTATCACACACCGATTACAGGTTGAGTTTCTTTTACTGCTGAAGTTATATAATATCTTCGTAAAAGTACTAATGACTGATGAGAAACCACTGAAGTTAAATGATTTGTAATGTTCAAACTTTGTAAAGGTTCCTGGTCAAATATCTGAAGTTTTTCGATTGATAAGCATTATAACAATCACAGCTATAGCTTCCAAAGTTTATAGCACACTAATAATAGATACTCTCTTTAGCACATCACATTGGTTATATTTGTAGGCATGTGGAGGTTTTCTAGAAATATCAGTTTTACATAACAATACTGAGCTACATTTAAATGTTTACATATATTGTTGATTTTTACTCTTGAGAATCTTCTACAACTTTGGGGAATAGGCAAGAGTTTCGCAATACATATTTAACACTATAAGCTATGCATGTTTTTAAATATAAACTTAATCTAAACAAATGTTGATATTAAAATAAATATATATAATAATGAATTCATTACAGTATATATATTTATAGTGTGTGTGGTATTCTTGATTCAGAGGAATATTGGCGCACAAGTAAACTACCCTAACAAGGCTCAAAGGTTTGGCTGTATGGAATATTAATGCAAAAACAACTGTTGAAGAAAAGAAGCAAACAATTTCAATGAACACCACTTTACACCTTATTTCACTTCCAACTGTGTTACATGACTTCCAAGATGAAAAGATGAAACAGAATAAACTTGTAGCTAAAATGAGGTTAAAATACAATATGCACTATTAGCAAGCACAGAAGTGCTATGGCAATGACAGGACTTTCACAATGTTTTCTAACTCTCTTAGATCAGGAAAAAAAATTGTTTCTTTCCAAAATTAGAATAAATCTCTTGAAAGCAACAAAACTGCATATACAATGCACATTCTCTCTGCATCAGAAAAGGGCACAAGGATGTGGAAATGTCTCTGTTTCGTGTGAAAGTTGCAAGATATTTCCCAAAAACAAGAACAAGAAGGACACATTACAACCATCCCATAGAACAGTAGATAAGTCCCTGAATCTATCATGTGATCTATACTGGATTTAGTGTTTTCCAGAATTAGAACTTTGCAAAATTCTTAAATTTGTTTCAAATTATTAAGTATATATAATATAGGAGAGGAAGATATTTGTTTCATGTGTTCTTATTACTTTTGATAATCAAGTATAACACATTATATTATTGACAGTCCGCGAAGCTGAGTTGAGACAACTGAGAAAATCCAATACAGAATATGAAGAGCAGAATGCTATTCTCAGTAAACACATTGACAAAATGAAAGCTGCCATTGAAAAACTAGAAGTGGAAACGGTTCAACAGAGAAACAATAATCTGGCCTTGCAGCAGCATCTAGATAACCTCAGAGCAACTTTAACAGCCAGTTTTGCAGCTATACCACTTCCAGGTAAGATAATGAATTTCCATTTAAAATTATAGGATAAAGATATACAACATTTAAGATATCCCCATTCTTAGGTGAGCAAATTACTTGCTAGTTTATATTACATTAATCCAGAATTAAGTTAAAGATATCACTTAAGTGTTAACAAACAACCTGTTTTTAAAATGATGAGTTTTAGTGAAAGTTATGCAGTCCAGAATTCAGTGATAAGATAGAGGTAAGAAGTCATACTGCAAGTTAAGTAACCTGCAGAATTGAAGTGTCCTGAATTGAATGCGAGACTCGTTTTACCACTACTCCAAATGTCTATCCATACCATTATTGTGAAATCTCTGTTTCACAGTTTGTTATAAACACACAGATCAAAAGCCTTGACAAAGACCTATGTGTGTCCTTAAGGTTTGAATTGGGTTTGTCTAACAGCATGTTGCGCCAGTCAGAGTAATAACTTTTGCTCATTGCTGTCATTTGTGGCTTTCTTTGAGCAACCTGCTTAGTAAACCATAATGACAGAAGGTAAGATTCTATATATAGTGAGGAAGTGTAAAGAAGAATATGATTGGCTTGGAGATGGAAAATATGCTGGTACAAAGAAAGAGAGTTTTTATTTTAAGTGGTGTAGAAAGACTGAAAGAAAGATCTCTATGCCTGAATAAGCAATAATACTAAGAGTAGACATATTAACTTAACATGAATTGACAAATGTTTAATTGAGTTATTGGCTACTAAGATAAGAAAAGTGTCTTAACAATTTTCATTTTTAGTGTAGTGTAAATCCTGCTTCAAAGTAGTATGCTAGGTTACTATAATCATATCACAACCATTGAGTATCTATCAGGAGTAAAGTGCACACCTGTATATCAAATTTCAAAACGTAGGCAAAAATAATAATTCTAACTACTTCCACAATTTTTGTACTCAAAAGTATTTTATAATTGATATTTAT